AAAAAGGATATATCTTCTCTTTAAATTGTTTCATTGTTAGAGCTTTATACTTAGTCCCAGATACTATGAATGGTACTGAGCATCTGTGTCTTGATATTGAGACAGAAGATACATGGAGCAGATAAACCTGAAAGTTTAGGAGCATGAAATAAAATTCCATGGGTAGTTTACATCTGTTTCTTCGTAATTGAAAATGCTTGACAGAGTGCAAGCATTAGCAATTTAGCCACTAGGTTAATTTCTATGGCTAAGTATTTTTCAGAAATGTAGGTTTATAATAGATACCACCTAAAATCCAAGTACATGATTTGGTGAGCAAAATCTTCACCAGTATACTTTGGTAAATGCACAGGAAGTGCAGGGCAGTCATAGAACAGTTTTTTTTAGCATTCAGGCAGGGACTTTGTGCTCAATTTGGGGGGTGTTAGGTTCCAGAAAGAAATTCTGAGGGTGGTGGTGGAGGAAGCAACATCTCCATACATATGTTTACATATGTAGCATCTATATATGTATGCATATATATACACACGGGTATATAATGAATTCTTTGTTGTTAATTAGATGGGGCAGCCTATATATTTTTACAAAAATGTTTAAGAATATTTTAATTTGCATATAGTCCTTCTAAATTTATTTTCATTTATTTAATAGGTACTTGTAGTTTTATTGTATGCTGGTTGCTATTATAGGTACTTTATAAACATTAATTTTAAAAATCCATATAACATCCTTAAATGCTTTCCTAAGAGGATAGTTCAGATGCTTTTGCTAAATGCTCATTTTTTTCCCTTGCTAATTGTTTATGTAACGTAACTGAGCAAGGTAATGAACTGCATTTACTTTGACACGAAGCTTTTAAATTCTGATTTTGTAACATTTTTCATTGCACAATGGTGTCACTGAAATAATAGTTTAATGTTGCAAAATATTTAAGTAATTTAATAACTGATACTCTAAGCAGATAGACTGTACTACATTTATTTGTGATATAGGGAACAGACTAGAGACCTAGATAGGAATAAAAATAAGCTTCTTTCATATTATAGGCACTTATTTAGTCTTATTTACTTTTGCACAGAGTAATTACTTTCAAACTTTTGACAGAATATAGATTTGAAAATGCATTTAGAATGATGATTATCCTTAAGCAGCATAATGCATCATCTATCCTTTTTATGAGAATTTTGTTCTTCTGCCTGCTACAGATTGGGGGCAGATGAAGTGAAATGACTGCGTTGGTAAGGAAAGTGCTTTTCCTTTGTCTGCAGACTTTCTGCCTGTATTGCAAGATTGCCTTTCGGCTGGCATCCTCTGCTTAAGGGCCTCTGTCAGTTACTTTGGTTGGAAATGCTAAGATGGTGGACATTTTTGTTGTCATGTTCTTTTTTTGTTGTTGTTAGAGGCTCATACAACTCTTTATCACAATCCATACATACATCAATTATGTAAAGTACATTTGTAATTCATTGCCCTGTTGTCATGTTCTTGCCTTTGCCTTGTGACGCTCCCACTTTGACTAGAGGAGCCACACCAGACGTTATCACTTGGACATGCATCTTTTCACCTTTTAGGGCAGGCATCCTCAAACTGTGGCCTGCGGGCCACATGCGACCCTCTGAGGACATTTATCCAGCCCACTGGGTGTTTTCGCCCCGTTTTTTTACTTCAAAATGAGATATGTGCAGTGTGCATAGGAATTTGTTAATAGTTTTTTTAAACTATAGTCCGGCCCTCTAACGTGTCTGAGGGACAGTGAACTGGCCCCCTGTTTAAAAAGTTTGAGGACCCCTGTTTTAGGACTTGAGATTAGACAGTTCTCTGAAACCTTCAAATAGGTATCTTACTGAGGCTGCCTACCTATTTGCCCTGTACAGTAAAGAAGACTGTGCTAAACTCACCTAAAGGTCAATCTTGGAGAAAATAAAGGTCGCCTCTCCTCTCACCTTGTTGGTGCAATCAGTGCACCTGTGGGTTGTGACGAGCTGACCTACCCTGAACCACTCTTGGAGAGTGCATCCAGGTTGTTTGGATAATGCAGGGAAAGTCACCTAGTATCCATTGTGTGGCTCATGGATGAATCGAGCCTGACATACATATCTGTAGTGCCACCCTTGTACCTTTATAAAACACTTGGTGATTACATAAGGAGCCTGAGGTTCCATTTCCAGCTCTGCTACTACATAGGCCGATGGTGAGAGGACAGAAGACACCTGTTACCTTGAGATCAAGTAGCCAGATTGGGTGAAGAGAGCACGATTTAATCCAGAAGTCCAAACAAACACCCTTTGCAGTATTCATTGGTCCTGTCAGCCTCGTTTAGGATATGGGAATGACCTATGGGCTAAAGTCATTTTGTTTTGTTTTCTGTTACACATGGCCCAAATTTAATTTGGCCTTAGGCCAAGGAGAGGGGGTGTTAATTTCATGGATACCGTAGAACCGCTTTTCGACTAATGTCTCTTAAATTAGCATTTAATTTACTCTTAAATATAGAACATTGAATTTTGACACACACCCTCTCTACTTCCCACCTACTGTCATTTATTTCCCACCTACTCTTACCCAACACTCTTAACTTTTCATCAAGCCTCAATTTTCTTTTGACCTATTCTCCCATCAATCAAACTATTATCTATGACTCTGTATCTAGAATTCTACACATGGATCCATAGGTAAGGCTGATGGCATGTCAACATGACTCATAGAGATAGGTAGATGAGCATAGGCCGGGTGTTTGCATGCTAACAGAGACTCTTCTAGTACTGCTACCATGTAATGACCTCTAAAGAGAGATGCCACCATTTTCAGAAAAAGGAGTGGACTCTTCTCTTGGATTTAAACTAGAGGCACATGTCATAATTCTCCTTGTGGTGGGGTGTTTATCCTTTGGCCAAGGAACAAGGATCACCTGATTCAATCCCCATTTGTGCAAAGACCAAAGCACTGGTTCTACCTTTCTTTGCCCCTTTTTAGATGAGCTGGGGTTAAAGGGTATCAGAGGTTGGCATCGCAGTCCTTTTGGTTAATGTTTAGAGAAGGGGATTCTAGAGGGAACAACCCTGTAATCTGGTTTCTCCTAGAAGCTGGTGGTTTGACTGTTAGCTCTCCTACACTGTCCATCAGTCTGCATCCTTGAGGCAACTCAGTTCCTGCCTTCTGATTCAAATGCCCGAAGATCTGGGGAGCCAAACTTGCATATGTTTTTTTCCCATGAATCTTGGATCTCTCTGATAGAATCCCTTGACTATTTTTAAGTGATTGAGTGCTCTGCTGTGTCCCGTTGGATCACTGTGATTCAGATTGGGCAGTTAGGTTTGGCTTTTGACTGTTAACTGTTTTTATGCACTGCCAGTATAATCATTTAAAACACGTTTTGCTGTTTCTTTTA